TCAGTCCTTGTTTTAGTAACTACGTGATGACACCACCTTATCTTATATTGGCCAAAGTGTCAAAGAGGTCTTAACTGCTCTCAATAAGATGGTGAATAATGTGCTAATGTGGAGCAGGAGAAATCAACTCACTATACATCCAGTCAAAATTGAAGCTATGTTGATGAGGAAGTCTCCTTTTGTCAGCCCGCTACCTCCACTTTATTTTGGCGCTGACTTTATTCAAATAGTTTGCCCGGGCATTAATCTGGATAATAAACTCTCATGGTCTAATCATATTTATTATGTTAAAAAAATTTTATGAATAAGGTCGATGCTCTGAAAAGAATGAAGTATCTTCCTATAAAGACATTAGCAGAGATTTATTTCAAAACAATTATTCCAAGTGTTTCATATGGCATCCTGTCTTGGGGAAACTGCTCCACGACCCTACTTTCCCACTTGGATACAGTCTATTCTAGAGCAGCGAGAATTATTTACAACCTTAATTCATCTTTTTCTGATGCTGAATATCTCTTGAATTCTAGCTGGCCTCCAATATCCTATTTTTACAAGAAATGTGTTCTTTTATTTATGCACAAGGTTTATTTTGACTCCCTGTCCTATTCGTTTGGGGACCTTTTTCAAAGAATGCCTCTGGCAGATCTCTGCGTGCCGTTAAACAGATGACTATACGCAGACCCAACTCTGAAGTGGGCAGGAACACCTTACAATATAGAGGACCTGTTATTTGGAACTTTGTCAACAAAATTGCTTAAGTTCCAGAAAACCTAGCCAGTTTCAAAAACACCATTAGAAAATTACATGTCGACTTGAACACGTTTTCATTTAATAAAGAAGCTGTCGTTATTACGAAGAAATCAAAAGATTTTTACTTTTGATTACTTACTCAGAATATTATAATTTCATTTAAGATAATATTTAATTTAATATCATAAATTATTTGTAAATTTTTATTATTAGTGTTTGCATTTTGTAATTATTTGTAATAGTAGGTCCACATCAGCCTCTGGCTGCCTTTCTTTGCAACCTACTTATCAAATAAAGTATGTATTTATGTATGAGTTAGCTCCTCTCTGGTAGAGGAAGCAGCGCTGATACAGTCCTCAGTGTAGCGACCGTAGAGTTCAGGTTTGGGGTCGTTGTATTGGCTGAAAGATTGGTGTTCGAAAAAACCTACAAAAAGATTGGCATAGCTGGGTTCCATTTTGATACTCAAGGCTACGCCATTGGTTTGTTTGATAAAGTTTTATTACAGTTTTACTTTTCATATACAGACATGTACAAACACTTGCCTATCCTCTCATTTTTGTGGGGAAAAAGATCAACTTGCACGAAATCTTACTCTAAAAAACAAGAATTCCTTTCTTAAAATAAAGTTTGAACTGTTGCTGTCACATTAGGCGAAAACAGGAAAGGCAGGTGAAGCTGCAAGGACCCCATCTCCAAGCTTTAATCAGTCATCATGAACTGCTACAAAATGCACTTGATCGCTAAGTGGTGGCTGATTAGCAATGCAAACATCAGCCTGCTGGGTTTTTGGCTTAAAGGTGGGCCAGGAGAGGAGAGGAGTTTCACAAAATTCATCTTAAATCAAACAAATTGCACAAATCCTAACTTTGCAAGGAAAAAGCTGAAACTTCCTTTCCTCTTATCTTCCCAATTTTTTTATCGATACTTTGGTGACTTTAGAAACTGACAACCATTATAAAGTGGCTGGTGTCTTTAGGGAAAACAGAAACAGTGAACTTTGAACCCTGAGATATCATTTATTTTGTACCGCATTTCAAAGAAAAAGGAAAGCACATTTTATTCCAGTAGTTACACACAGTAATGTCATTGAAACTTACAAGGCATCAACAAACAATTTATATGCTCGAAAGTACTTTGATGATCGCCAAAGTGACTCCAGAATATCTCTCTCAACAAGTTCAGGTGGTAACCTTAATCCCAAATCAATGTCTTGTGTATTTAGGATACGTGCCTGTATATGTGCTGATTGTTACTGCTGATATGTGTTACATCTTCGTGGAAAAGGTCATGCACATCTTCATAATTCAAGTAACAATTCTTACGCATTTTTAAATACAAATGTAAAATTCAGGCTTCCCTTCCTTCGCAGTCTTCCTCCTTATTTTTCTCAAGTTATCTTAGTTCACTGTTTGTTATCTTAAACCATTCACAGACTTTTTGCTTGGCTTATGGATCTTCCTTCTCTTCACAGTTCATAGAAGGCAGTCTTGACTTAGTATCGTATTACCTCCTACGAAGGTTGCTCCCCAACTGAGTCACTAGAGATTCTCCATTTTTCACCCACTTCAGTTTAAAAGAAAAATGATAATTAACAATTATTCACCAAACTAGAGATAAACATTGGTGGATATTTATTGACATTTAGGTAAATAATTGTTCTAGTATATGCCACACAGGAACCAAAAAATTAGTTTACTTCTGTCAGTGTACCAAAAATGTGGCAGAAAGTTAACTCTTGATGCATTTTGTTTCTACGGCTCCTCAGAGGTGAATAGTATTTGTGAATGACTTCTGCAACAGCCAATCAACATGCATGAAAAAGTACTTTTGACCTGTGTTAGTATATTATTGGCAAGTACTTCCTGAAGTCAGGATATAGACTTTGCACATTTACAAACCAGTCATCCAATGTTATTCTTGGATTAAACTTTGCACAGAAAGTGTAGAAACAAGTTGATTAACTGGGATTTGTTAAAAGCCTTCAACAAACACTTTTATGGATTAACATTTCCTTTTCCACTTTCAGAAGTTTTTGAGACAATAAGTACTATCATCTCGCTTGAAAAGCCTTTAATGGACAGAGTGCAAAAACTACCAATTGCTTTTTGTAACTCACTTCAGTATCTGTTTCGTTGAGAAAAGTATATAATTAGATATGAGTCATAATTGACTGACAATTAATTTCCTTTTTCATTAAGTTCATGATACACTTGGGATTAGTAACTTCGTAAGATCGCGCAACGTGTTAAAAGTTCATTTTTAGAAGGAATCGTTCCATGCTAAATTGTTCCCTCGCTGACCGGCATTTCATATGATTTTGCCAACCGAATGCCCAATTGAACTGCCACCTTGTGTTTACGAGTGATTAGGAATAATCTGCTGGATATCGTCACAGAAGTGGTCGATGATATTTGATTAATCACTGTAGTTCGCTTATGTTGTAGTTTGCCCTGTAGTTTGCCCTATCTAATATTATGCAACGTTTTCCTTAATAAATCCAATAAAAACCAGAAATCATTTATATGGTTTGCGTCATCCAGTGGATTAATAAGCCCCTTTTTCTCCCCGGATCAGTATCTACTTCTCTTATGAAGTTAATAATGTAGTGTCAGATTGTTTACTTCCAATTAAAAAGAAACCAGCTAGTTTTTTTTCTTCAAATAAAAAAAAAGAAATTTGTAGGACTTCTTTCTTCAGTTCTTTGATTCATATGCATAGACTTAAAAACATGTGAAAATAAACTGCTTGACTTACAATTACTAAACAATTCATTTTCTGTGGTATGGAAAACAATTGGAAAAAAGTAGAGAAAAAAGTGCAGGAGTCTATGCTATTTGCTCCATGGGTAGTGTAGAATCTCCCAGTCTTGCACAATTCTATAGGATACCCTAACTGACCTTGGAATAATCTTAACTCTTTCAACCCAAAAGGTTGGAATGTATGAATATCAAACATGTCACATCAACCTTGCAACACTAGCCATATCAAGTTAACAACAACATGCACCAGTAATAAGTTAGTGGCTGAAATTATTGTTTACATAATGTCTTATTAATTTCTTTTTCACAAAAAAGTAATTAAAAAAATTACTTCTCCTTGTTGTTTTAGAGTGTAAAAAGTTACTTAATCACCAGAGGAGGGCACTGGGATTTTCAGTTTCCCAGTTTTGGCTATTTTTTAGATAGGTTTTTCAGTTTTTATGCCCAAACACTTTGGTTTTCCAGTTTTGGTGTTCTTTGCCATTTGTAGATTTTGTTTTTAAGCATTCACCGATAAGGGTTTTTGTCAAAATACTAACAGGTTTTCAGATTTGGTATCTACTGTGGTTTTTGGTTATTCCTATTTGGGTTCCAGTTGCTCTTTGATCTGAGGGGCAATTAGGCGCCTCCACTGATCTTGAATAACCGCAAAACCTCTGCAGGATTGTAGCTAAGAAAATGGCCTGCCAGTTGAGGAAGCCATTCAACTGGCAGTATCCAGTGGTTTACAACATCTTGTCTACAAGGCTACCAAGCTTAGAGTTTACAAAATTGGGATCCAAAACAGAGAGAGGCACTACAAAACCAGTCAGGACAAGTGAATTCAAAGCAGTACTTCAATTCACCTTTAATAATTCTGCGGCTTAGATGCAGTTCAGTTTTTATTCTCACCTCTTTGTTTTTAAATGGCAAAGCATATTTTTTTCATACATGTACACAGTAGAGAAAAAAAGACTCATCAGTTGGCAATTGCCTCTTTCTCAGCCAGCAAATTTTGCCGGCTACTGGTGCTTAGTGACAACCCTGTTCTGTGTGCTGCACTTGTCACCACTGTATTGGATTGATTGGGGTTTTGATAAAATTAATGTACTGGTTTTGATGGTTTTGCATGCAGTTTTTAATTTTGATAGAGTTTTTTGCAGTGTTGCTATTTTGCAATATTTTTTTCTGACTTAGTGGTTTCTAATAAACTCCAATGCCCCCCTCCAACAGGAATGTCTTAGAATGTGCTGAAAAAGTCAACTCTAGAGGGCAGAGACTTAGTTAGGTCACTGCTAACAGACCAGGTTGTATGCAAAATCCAACTAGCAAAATTAAATTTGGCCAATTTCTAGTGCACTTTTAACAGGAGGGGGTCATTTGATCAGTGTGACAGACTTTTTACTACAACTGTACAAACTCTTGTGGGTTTAATGGTGGAGAACAATATTCAGTAAAGTTATGACGATTAATAATGTGCAATGTAACATAATGCTCAGCAATCCTCGCCATGAGGGAGAAAACAATATTGTCTTGTAAAAATCCATTGTAAATTTACAAAATATGGACAGTGATAAATTTCCAAATTTTTAGATCAGTATACATAGAGAAAATTTTGAAGAACTTGTCAAGGTGGAGGGATAATCAGAGGAAACTTTTTAGAAAGAGGAAAGCCCCTTCTCAGTTTGCAAGGCTGAAAGGAGTTGACCTCATCGCAATACTTGCTATTGCTGCAGCAAAGGCTGCAACAATTAAAGCTAATTAAGAGGGCAATAAAAAATTCAGGGTAAAAGAGTTTATTGACATCCATTACTTACTCTTTTTTCATTGTAGAAATCATTATGCAACAAATTTAAACAACAATAACAGCACAAACAACAAAGCAACCATCAAGACTGTGCTCCATACCAGTAAGCTAGCTAAACATTGAATGTTGTTGTAAAAACCAAAACAATTACAATGTTCTAAACTTTTCAGAGAAACCACTCAGCAATGCCTTGTGGTTTCAAGCTAGTTTTGAACATTGTTGATGTCATTTCTATGACCAATAAGTTTATAGAAAATAAAAAGTTGTGGTTAATTTCTTAACCTTATCGTAGTAGAGATAAAATTTTGTGGTTTTGAAGTACACTTCTGTTTTAAGAAAAGGCTTCTGGCCTACACTAACAACTCTAAATCAATATTGCAGTGTATCTAAATGAATGATAATAGCCTCAATTACCTGAAACAAATGATTTAATGGCCACAAATCCAATCAGCATTGACACAACTGCTATAAAAGCCACCCTGAAAATAAAAAATTGTTGAATGGTCCAACAAGTTGGTATTATTAGTTACAATCATGGTAATAAAGTTTTGTGGGCTTTACATTACTCTTCTCTACATAAATATTTTCATGATTTTTGCAGAAGCCAGAATTCACTGAAGGTGGAAAAATTATGTGGAGTACATGAAAAGTTTTTGGAAAAATTAGTATTGGATCATTTTCTTTGGGAAAGTAGACTTGTGTCACTTATTGCTCAGAAAAGCTTCTTTTAATGGGTAAAGGGAGTAAGTTTCTAAAGAAACTGTGGTGCTCCGTCGGTGGGGGTAACAAGGTAATTTGGTAATATCATCTAAGTTGAAATTGTAAATTGGCCACCGTAAAGAGTTAAAAGGCTGATGTTTTGAGCATTACCCTTCGTCAGAGCGAATGACGAAGGGCTAACGCTCAAAATGTCAGCTTTTTAACTCTTTAGAGTGGGCAATTTACAACTTCAACTTAGTTGATATTACCAAAGTCTTTTAATGGGGCCTTGAGTTCCCTATCTTTTCTATCAACTGAAGGTAGAAAAAAATCAAAGCACTGTGACACAAATGACTTTTAATGCCATGCTAGAGGAATTTCAGTTGAACCCAAACTGAGAGGCCTTGGTCAGTTGGAATGGCTTGATATGACTTTCAAATTCAAACCACTCAGAATTATAAAACTTGTTCAATATCTACACTTATTCTATAGCTGGGGGCAATATGAGGCCATGGGCAATATGAAGTTAATCCTGTGTTCTGATTGGCTGCCTAGTTTGATCCTGCATAAGAAAAAAAAAGGGCATGGAGTGGACTTACAAAGTTCATAACTTTTGGACAATTTTGGCACTTAAGTTGCAAAAAGGGTAGAAGACAGTCAAAACTTAGCTAAGAGTAAATGAAAAGACATAATAACCACTGGCAAATTTCACAGGCAAACTGATTCAATTTTAATGAAACAACTAATCAAGAATTAGATTAAGAGCTCAAGATTTCTATTGCATGATAGCTGATGAATACAAAGCTCCTATCACCGACCAGGCAAGAAATTGAGTGAATAATCTGGTAGTTTTATTTCATAAATCTTCCAATAGTTCAAACTTAGCAATACAAGTTCACAGTTTTAATTATTTTGAATACACTGGCCAACTGTTAGGCTACACACTGTCTATTACAGAATACAACCGTAGATAGAAAGCAGTGTTGCCAATCAGATTGCAATTGTGTCAGAATGCTAATAGATTTACACTAAATACAGATAACCAATAATCAACAATCATTCATGGAAGTGAAGATGAATAGTGGTGGTTATTTACTGAGCTATGAACTGAGGTGAATAAATGTTTTATTCCATACAGAAACCCACAAAATTTAGTTAATTTCTGCCAGTATACCAAAAAATGGTCAGAAATTAAATTAATGATAGGCAATTTTGTCTCTTCAACTGCTTAGAAGTGAACAGTACTTGCTAGTCGCTTCTGAACCAGCCAATCAGTGCATATGGAAAGCACTATTCACCTTCATGGTATATACTAACAGTGGTAAATCATTGGTGCTCTGTCATATATCAACCTACTACCCAAAATGTAAAATAACCTTAAATCGTGAAAACTGAAGTTCATACACTTTAAGTAAGCCTATTCCAAGAGTGAATCCATGATCTGTGAATAAGTCTTCTGCATCCTCTAGTTTGGCCAAGTGTTAAAACATGTTAAATGGGAGGGGCTGGGAATACACATGTCACTGGCCGTCATTTTTGAAGGTATATAACCTTCTAACCGTGACTGGGATACGTATTGATGTTACACCGGAGTATACCGCATGAAAGCCAATGATAAGTGCATTTAAAACCTTTAACAGCTGGCTATGATACCTTTTTTCACCCTTCCTCAATAAGGATGTTCTTTCCTGTGATCTCTGCCACATTTGAATATCGACATTCCTAGAAGGCTGTTTGGCTGCAGTGAGACTATTGGCATCGCTTGCATTGTGTCTCATGCCGGAAGATTCACCTGAACTTTCTGAACTTCTTAATATACTCTGAATATCCACCTTGTCCTCACACGTGCTCTGTTTTTTTCTCCTTAGCTTTTTATGGTGATATTTTCTATTACAAATAGCTGGGCTTCGGATGTTGTTCGTAATCGTGTCTAATCTGATTACCTGGCCTACCCTGAACAGTCGAGCGGAGGTCGCCATTGTACCGTTGCACTTTTGTCATCTTGTTGTGGATATGTCCTCTGACGTAATGTGATACAATGGCCAATCACATCCTGTGATCTATAGAGCGACACGTGGCTTGGGACTGGTTAAGAGACTCCGTTGCCGTTTTGTCTTCAAGCAAAAGTAGTCATTCAAGGGGGTCGGGATAAGTAGAAAATTTGACACGTAAGAACAACTTCCAAAACATGCTGTTCGCATGTTTCCTTGAAGTTCTATTGCTCCTTCGTTAACGCCGTGTGATCGCATCGTTATTCTAATCTAAACCTCCTAAACGTGGAAGAGCAACTGCTACGTAAATAACAAAGCGACTTTTGACCAAAGGATGCGTTATTGTTCACGCTTTATTTGCAGTCTTGCTTTATTTACAGAAGTCATTGTTCGACTTGCGACTTCAATGACAACATTTTACCCATATCACAATTGCTTTATTTTCTTTAATAGTTGAAGATCGTAGATTATGGTTCGTCGGCATAAAATTATATATTTTTGACGCTTCGCTGATCTGCCGGAGGTGAGATCGACTGAGAGGTCAAAGTTGTGATAATTTGTCTGCGTCACGAAGTCTTCCTTCAATCACAGAAGTTTGGCCTTCAGTTGTTTATTTCCAATATCGTAGGTTTTTGCTCTATGGCAAAATCTGAAGTAGTAGATTGTGAAAATTTGAAATAGTAGATTGTGATGTGATTTTATTACGGTTCCGCTGATTTTAGCTGTACTTTCTTTAGTTCTGATTTACCTCGTTTTTCTAAACAAAGTGACCCCAGGAAGTAGACGGATCCGAATCTTGGTCCTTGGGAAATAGCTAAGCTGTACATTCCTGATTTGGGTACAGGCTCCATTATAAATGGTGCGGACGACATGGATATTACTGGTATCCTGAATCTCATGTACTGGTGCAAACAATTTACCATTCCATAGCCTCTAATCGACGACGTTCGAAAAGCATGTTATACAAAGTGGACTTGCGTGCCGAAGCTAGAAATAACAGATGAAGACAAACAGGCTGTCTTTGATGCTATTGAAAAACTTCTCGGAGATTCTCAATTGGCCCATGACCCTGCCGCTTTAAAGGCCTGACAGGAAATATTTCAATTGGAATAAGTGTCCGACTTACATACATTTGAAGCCCCAGTATAGAAATGCGACGGAGAGAGATGATGGTTCAAACATTACGAACGGACTGAAAAATCTAAAAGCGGACTCAGAACTCAATGAGGAATTTCGAAGGCAGTTGGGAGAAAATCTTCGTAACATAAAATCTATGATCTCTATTCAAGGAAAGCCTTCTTTTTTTTAACATCGTAGACAGTATTTAATGAACTGTAAACAATATTTTCAGCTTTTCGTACGATTTTACACTTGTAAAAGAGTTTTAATTACTAATCTCAGGCTGGGTTCGACGCTTAATAAAATTCTAGCGGCTAGGCATGGATGAGTGCTTCAGTTTCTTTTTCGTCGCCCTGCATATTGATGGGACTCCAAAAGTACAATAGAGCGGACAGGAAAGGAGCCAAGTGTCCTTAAACATAACTTAAGTCGGGGTCGTTCTCATCCTTTTCCTGGAAAACATCACCACCTGTGATTGTACGCAAATTCAATGTTTCGTATAACGGTTTATTAAGACTTCTACTTTTCTTAGCATTTGGTGCGCAGCCGCATAACTGATAAATATAGACCCCACTTGCGCCAGCGAGTTATCCTCGACATACCACTCTACATCTTTCTCGTACTTCACTCTGGTTTTCCTTCATCACGCACAAATCTTTCGCCTTTTACTAAAGATTTCCGTGGGGGAGAACAGTAGGTTGAGTTTCTAATCAATTTTTGAGTCGCCCTGCCTTGAAGCGGGGCTCCCTAAATGAAGTAGAAGAGATGTAAAAGGTAATTGAGATTTAATGAGCCAGTAAATCCTC